CAGCAGTTGGCACATGTTGTTACTGTTGGTCCGCCATCCTAGGCAGGCAGCCCTTATCACTGGACTGTTCTCCATTTTGAGCCTGTCTTTCCCCCTGCTCCTCTTCGCTACTGGGTGTGGGAAGATGGATGGAAAATTCTGATCTTTGCTTCTCTAACATAGCTTTTGGATACTGCAAAGCAGCATTTAAATACCTGTGTGCTTGCCTCCTGTCCAGGTGTCTTGATTGTTCCTTCTATCTGTCCGTCCACCTCCTCACTACCCACCACTTCCCACCAATTTCCCTCCTCTGCAGCTGTCTACCCACACTTCCATGCAGACTTGGGGATGGTTAGGGTTTTCTTCCAGTGCTGTGTGCCCCCTTATAGCACTGTCCCTGCCCACTGAATGCCAGCAGCTTTCTTCACCTAATCATTTCAGCCACAGGTATCCTGCACACATCCCCGTCACGTTGCCCTTGGCAGCCGGGAAGGATGCGCTGTTCTTACAGCTCCAGCGGCATCACTTCTCCTATTCCTTATGAGCCTTTACCTGTCATTCTACCCTGGACCCTTCTGCAGAGGAGGAAGAGGGGCCCAGCTTGTTGTGTGCCCTGTGAGCTGTGGGCCTCCTGGTGATGCCTGCAGGGTAAATGGAGTTGTTGACAACATGAGGTTGTTTTCAGATTGACTTTGTACCTAGTAACATAGCAAGTGTTTTGAAAGAAGCTCATTTGACTCATCCCCAAAGCTTTCCCCATGATCGAAGGAGTTATGTCACCCTGAATCTAATGTCCGTGCTTCTTTCTGACATACTCTTCCCTCAGTGTCCCCTTGGAACCACAGAACTTTGTCCTGGCTGACCAGACACTTCTCTGCTTCCTTCAGGTTCCCTGAGGTAACTTGTGTGCCCCGTTAACTGCTCGATTTTGGAGGGGTCTTTGTCTGGGTCCTGCGTGGATGAGGTGCCGAGATTGTGGGGAGAAGAGCGGCACACCCCAGAGCAGGGTCGTACTTGCGTGTTTCCATTCTAGTTTATAATTAAGTGGAAGAGCAAGAACTGATTCCTGTCAGATTTCAGATGAAAACACTTAATAATTCATCGGTTCTGAGGCGCCTCGGAGAGTCCCTAAAGTGCTCAGCCCTGTCATGGGTTCCTGGGTCCAGTCCTGGGCTAAGGTTGTGTTTAACCTCCCTGTCTGAGTCCAGGGGTGCACTGTGCATCACCTACCTTCCACCACAGCCATCTGCTTCTCAACAGCTCTAAGGACAGCCTTGGCCCTGTGCTGGGCCAACATCTGGCTAGTACATTTTCACTTGGTCTCTGCCCTCCAACTGGTAACTGTCCAGGTCAGCTTTCCTACCCTGTCTTTACCTTTGTGTCGATAGTGTTTCCTTCTGAAATATGTTTCTTCCTTAGAACCCTAGGGTTACTTGTCTTTTCTTACCTGTCACCGTAACTGAAACGTATTTTCCCACTGATATGATGGTGACATCTCCACATGGGTAGGATGGCTGCAACTGGGGTGTTTACTGGTTGGAGAGCTAAACTCTTCCGCATCAGTTCAGGCTCCTAGCTCTGGACATTCTCCTGATAGTCCACTCAGCCCCCATCCATGGGGCTTCCCTGCTGGCCCCCACTCCAGTTTCCTCCAGCATGACCTTTTGTCTTCCTTCCCTGTGGCAGCACACTCTGTGGAGAGAGTGACTTCTGGAGCTAGATGTCTTGACTGAGAGAACTGATCCACCCTGTGTTTGTCCTCTGCCTGCTTCTTAGAGTCACTAGGTCAGCATATTAGCTCCGAGTAGATGGAAGGGGACTCAGGTCAGCTGGTCTTACCTATGGTGCTGCCCAGGCCATGTCTCCTGGGATGGTCATCATCCTGTTTTCTTGGTCTTGGCAGTCTGCACTGGGTTCTGAATCTGTACCCACAGCCTGGATCTTCCAAAGTGCCTGTGTCTCCATCCTTGACTATCTACAGTGTGTGTGACTACCATGGGGTTCAGAGTATTCATCTTATTCTAACAGTGAGGGCAAGTCTGATTCTTTTGGCGTTTAGAAGACAAATCGGCAGAGGGCTTCTTGGAGTTAAATGCCATTACTTCATTACATTGACGAGTAACAAATGACCTGCTATGAGAAATGACGCCCAGAATAGGCTGCTGACATTTCCTTGGATAAAATAATAAGCTGGCTAAACAGACTAAGAAATATTAAGGCCTCTGCCAGCCCCATGCAGAGCCCATTTCATGTAGGCCCAGGCTGTGCTAGCCCAGTTGCTTCTGTGAACGCGCAGTCTGAGAGGGCTCTTCTCACTGTTTCCCTCTTATTATGCCCAAGGAGATGTCCTTGTTCTTGGAAGGCCCTTGACAAACAATTTGTCAATGGAAAACATTTCAGAAGATGTCCTCAGACTGTGATTATTGATTCAATGCCCCAAAACTGGAAAAATAGGATGGGAATCAGTTCTACTGGAGCCATTTTCCCTGGGAGCAGGAGAAGGCAGTTCATACCACATCTGCATTCTTGACTTTTCCCTTTTAGCTCAGCGGAAAGGGAAGCAGTGGGGCTGGGCTGGATGTGAGGTAGGCCTGTGGGGTTCCCCCATTGCTGACTTGCAGTGAGAACATCTGTCACCTGAGAGAGGTAATACCCTCTGCCTCTGCAGCCTGAGAGACTCTTGCAGAATCACAGAGAGACTGTATCGGAGGGTCTGTCCACATCAAGTGCTGGCCTCCTGGGCCAGCAGGGTTCCCAGATCAGACATTTTCAAGAATTGGACTTCTGAGGGCAGGCCATAGAGGAGGATTCTTGTATTGCTGCAGGCCAGTAGGGAGCAGAGCTCCCAGAGAGTGTGGCCATCACAAGGCAACTCAGGAGGGTCAGGTGAGGTGCTACAGCTTTGCCTGTCAATCTGACCTGTATCCAAGGGAAGGGGAAAGTTGACAATCAAGTCTCCTTTGGATCTAGCATGACAGGAGTGACAGCATCCTTCACTTAGGGTCTAGCAGTCACTGACCCTGTTCTTTCTGTCACCTGGGCTGTTCTGACCACTGAATATGTATTATCCTTTACTGAATTAACTTCTTGGGGGACATGCCTTTCCTACTTAGCTCTGTGCCCAGGGCTGGGGCTGAAGCAATAGTTCCCATATAGAGTACCATCACCCCAGCCATCTGTTACTTCCAGCACCCCATAATTGAGACAATCACCCCTGTTTGCTCCACCACATACAAGAAAGAAGTCCTGCACAGTCTCCACATGCAGGTATCCAGAAGACATACCAGTGAAAGATTCTAGGCAAGGCCACAAGGAGTTGGCTTCTTTCTACACGGCATCCAGAATAGGCACAGCTGCAGACAGGAATTTGGTGGGTGCTGCCAAGAACTGGGAAGAGGGCAGAAAGGGGAAGACTCCTGAAGGGTACAGGGATTCTTACTGGGGTAAGGAAAATGCTCTGGAGTTCATGGAGGTGATCTCACAGGCTCTTTACACAGAACAGTATGTGCTTGCAGTATATAAATGTGGCAAAGGTCCTTTATTTACACATTTAGAAAATAGATTTCATGGTATGAATTATGTCACAATTAAAAAAAAAAGCCGTAAACCTAAGCAGTGCCATGGAAAGAACTGGGGGCACTAGCACCATTTCTGCATAGGTGTCTTACAGACCCAGTATCACTGCAGGTGAGCTGGGAACTGGTGGTCACTGATGTACATGGCCAAAGAGCTGGCTCCTGCTGGTTGTGTGTAGGCCTGTTACCATCTCCAGACTCTGTAAGTCAGCACAAAGAGCCTGCTTGTAATCTTCTACTCAGGGACCCTGATGTGACAACTCCTTTCTCCATTACCTTCCTGGTCTCTGTTGAACACAAAGAACCAGGAAGGCGGTGTTCCCATCCTTATATGTGCCAGGAGCCATGCAGATGCTGGTGAGGAAGTCACTAAGGATGGTCAGGAGGCTGGTGGGCTGGGGCCCAGGTCCTTTGTGGGGAGCAGTTGTGAAGATGGTCTGAAGTGATGGCTGAGGATGATTGGGAGACTGCAGACTTGACCCCGGTCTGTTGTGGGGTGTGACCGAGGGCTTCCTGAATTCCAGTTTCTTTACCTCTTCTGCACTGCTGTTTGCATGCCACAGACTGTTAGAGACCCCGACAGTAGGAGCAGAGTGGTGACAGGTTACCTGAGTGGGTCTGTCTGAGTGGGGGATGGGAAAAGGATGAATTTTTGATAATTGTTAGCAGTTTTGCTAGCATTACTGGACTTTGCTTAAACTTTCTAAATGTGTCTGGGCTAAAATGCTTCTTTCTTAAAGAACATTTTCTTTATAAAGATGCACATGTCTTTGCAAATAAAATGTAAATAAAATGATAAATGGATGGTCAATTTTTTAAATGTTTATGTGCATTTTCCAGGGTGATTGTCCTACTAAGGGTCTAAAATGAGTTTGCTTAAATATCTGATGAAACATTTCAATTAGGCATCTGTCTTCTCTGCTTTCAGAAGGAAATGATTTCCGAGCACCGTTGTCTTCTTTGAAGCTCATCTGGGCCTCTGCCTGGGGTATTAGACGCTAGCACAGAAGTTTTTACCTAGAGCGATTTGGAAAGCTCTACCTCAGAAACAGTAGTCTAGAGGAATTATTACTGAATGAATATGTAAATTTGTTAGTAGCAGAGTTCTGAAAACTCTGTTTGAGAAACTTTCAGATCTGTTAGGGCTTAGCAATATATGGTGGGTTTTTTCTTTTTAGAAATGAGATGTCTGAACAGCAATAATTTATAATATATTAATTGTGCTAATTAATCGGAGTGGATTCAGAATATTAATTATCTGCAACTAGTTAGGTATTAAAATTGAGAACCATTAAGTGATGAGGTGTGAGGCTCATGAACCATTTATTCAACGTGATGAAAAGCGTCGTGGAGGGAGGCTGGTGTGCATGTGCGTGGTTGCGGTCTCTGTTTGTTTATTTCACATGGTTGATTGCTTCTTGTATCTTCCATGCTTGTTCTGTACAGACCAGGAGGACGTGGATGAGGTCGATGTCTCCAGTGTGCCTGCAGAGGTGCTTCGCAACATTGAGGCTGACACCTACTGGTGCATGAGCAAGCTGCTGGATGGCATTCAGGTGAGCCTGGGGCTCCGGAGGCTCAGGAAACCAAGTGGAGGGAGGCTGCTGGGCTACTCTCCACACACTGGCTTCTGAATTGAATTCTGAAAAAGCAGGTAGCCTTTCTCTATATGGAGCCTTCCTCCCCAGGGTCATAAGACATGAGATGGGTCATAGGTGCTCCTGGTTTTGGGAATAGCCATTGTGTCCTGCCAAGTATTCCAATAGGAAGGTGTGTGTGGAGTCTGATCCCCATGCTCTGGTCTCACCATCGCTTATGCCTGTATTCTCTAGCCTTCAGCACCACTGTGGGCACTGGGCCAACTACTAGACACCTATCTATCCCTTTAAGGGCTATAGTCTGTACCTGCTAGACCTGTGAGCAGCCCATAGTCCTTCTCTGGTGGCATGGGTTGCTCTCACTGTGCCTGGTTCATGGGGAGACACCAGCTATTAGAGTCCTGGGTACCTGGGCACCATGGTGGGGACATTGTTGGTCTCCACAGAAGCAAGGGTTAGTGACTGGCATGTTGACAGAAAAGTCCAATGACAGTTGATTTTATGTAATTAGTTTTTTTGTGTGTTGGAACCTGCACAGTGCCAGGAAAGTACTTTGTTGGCTGATAGGACGGGGACAGGAGCTGGATGACTTGTAGAGCAATGGTAAAGTAGGCACACCAGCCCTTAGCCATGTGGAGTGTTTGGGTTGGTCTTGGCTCTTAATACCTTTCCTAGGTACCTGCTTTGCACCTGGCACTGTGTTTTGCCCTTGAAAAATGCATGAGGCATGCCTAGGGGACCACACTGCGGGCTGGAGTCCAGGTGTTTCAGTACTGCACACAGAAGTGGCAACAGCCTCCCAGGACTGAGTGTGGCAAAACGAGGTGCCCATAGGACACTGTTGACAGAGGAGGGGGAAGGCTAGAGTGGGGTTTAACTGTCACAAGGGACCAAATTCCCAAGATTCTTATCTGGTAGCCACTTGTAGAAGCTATACATGAAGGCCATAGCCTGTACCATGCTAGTCTTAGCCCCCAGGGCATCAGGAAGCCAGCTGAGCCACCGTAGCCCTCATCTTTCTGAGTAGGTGTTTCTGCTGAAGTGGTCTCAGCTCATTTACTGGACCTGAAGGTCAAATAAAGCTTCAGAAAATGTGTGGCTTAGACCCCGAGGCTTAATCCAAAGGGATCAGCCAAGTGGTTTGTGAAGGAGGTCTGGATTTGCAGTGCTTTTCATACCTGAGGTGGATGGGGAGCAATTAGCATCCACTTGTCTAACTGAAGAGCGGAGACCTCTCCTTTGCTGCTGATCCAGATGGCCCTTGACTTATTTTGTTTCTTGTAAAGACAAATGTGCCCACTAGAGACATGTTTTGGCCCAAGCATCAATTCATCACTTCTCTCCTTTGTTAATGTTTTCATATTTTTTACTCCTTCAGAATTTAGCCTTTCCCTGTTAAGAGAAGGGATTGAACTATATATAATGTAAAGTTTATAAATTATCATTGTCGCGTCTCTGATCGTGAGTGATGGGACTTGTGCCATTTAAATCCAAGATTATCTGGCTTCTGTTTGTAAATAAGATGGCTGTACAACGAAATCAATGCTGCCCTTTCATTTTTCACCTGGGCTTTGTTGTCGGGAAAAGGGTTTATTGACAGGACTGACAAGCAGAAGGCACAACACTCCTCTGGTGCCTTTGTTTAGGGCACGTTTGCAGCTCGGTGGTAGCTATCTGTCTTTTCCTCATGCGGCTAGGATTGATTCCACATGAGCCTTGTGTGAGCTGTTCCACCATTAGGGATTTGGGGACTTGACTATATTTCTTATGGCTAAGGTAATCCCAAGAGACTGGAGACTTTGGGACCCTTTTGTACAAGAGCCGGCGTTGTTTTAGGTTAGCCTGTAAACCTAGTTAGTTTAGCCTGGTTAAAATTCAGGCTTGAAGCTGGGTGGTGATAACACATACCTTTAACCCCAGCACTCAGGAGATAGAGGCAGGCAGATCTCTTTGAGTTCGAGGCTAGCCCGATCTACAAGAGCTAGTTCCAGGACAGATTCCAAAGCTACAGCAAAATCTTGTCTTGAAAAAAAAAATTACAGGCTTGAATGAACCTTTACTATCCTCCAAGGGCCTGCATGACCCTGCCCCTTACCAGTGGTGGCTTGTCTCTTCACCCACTTGGCACTCCAGGTCACACCTCTCTCTCTCTTCCATTCTTGGTTTTGTTGGAATTCTCCCCTGTGCCATGATCTGGGTTGGAGACCCTCTGAAAACAGTCTTGGTTTTGTTGAATGCAGATGTTCCTATCTGGCCTTATCCATGTCTTCAGGGTTTCTATAAGGCTAAGTTGACTTACCAAAGTGTGTTAGCTATCCATCCACACACTTTCTATGGGTCTTCCAGGGGCTCAGGACTCCAGACTAGGAACCAAACTAGGGCCACAGGCTTTGTGGTTAATAGGCAGTGACTTAAGGGAGGAAAACAGGAGTTGGGTGTATCTCCTACTGCAGGACCCTGAACCTTGTACCAGACCCTGTGCACCAGGTAGATGCCCAGGGAGACAGGGCAGCCTCAGGTTATACAGCCTGTGAAGGAGCCTATGTCTGGACTCCCCATGGCTCCCATGCTTCTGCTTTGCTCAAGTAGGTAGAGTGAATTGTTTTGCAGGGCGGATTCTAGAGCAGTGGTTCTCAACCTTCTAATGCTGCCACACTTTAATACAGCTCCTCATGTGGTGGTGAGCCTTACCATAAAATTACTTCATTACTACTTTGGAACTGTAATTTTGCTACTGTTACAAATCATACTGTAAATATGTTTTTGGAGATGGAGGCTTGCCAAAGGGGTTGCCACCCACAGGTTGAGATCGAGAGGGTAGAAAACTGCAACTATGTTTTGTTTGGTTTTGGACGCACAGGATAGCTGTAGCTATGTTTGGTTAGGAGATTCTGTGCCTACTAAGTTTTTGTGTCTTTTGTTTGTTTGTTCAATGCTTATTTATTTATTTATTTATTTATTTATTTATTTATTTATTTATTTATTTAGTTTCTTGAGACAGGCTTTCTTCTCTATGTGAACAGTCCTGGCTGTCCTGGAACTTACTCTGTATACCAGGCTGGCCTCCAACTCAGAGATCTGCCTGCCTCTGCCTCCCCAGTGCTGGGATTAAAGGCATGTACCACCATTGTCCAGTCCACTAAGTTTTTGTAATTGATCTGCTAACTATTAATTCCTCCAAAGTATGATGAGCATGCCTATGCAGGTGCTAAGGGTCACTATGGTGGGTATGACAAGTACCGCCCTTCTGGCCCAGATCTGAAGCCCAGGGGCTTGTTGGTAGACAGGATAGCAGTGGGGGTGAGCAGAGAGTGTTGGCCCAAGAGGATATCAAACTTTGGAAAAACTGCTCCCACTGCAGTTGCCTGGAGATGCTGGTGACTGTGTGTAGAACACATGTGACCTGCTTTGGTGGCTTGTTGGCAAGGGCAGTCCTCCAGAAAGAAAGTATGCTGGTCTGTTAGAAGCCAGCCAGTATACCTGAGGAGAGTCTGCAGATGCACTGTGGCCTTGGTTTTCCTGCCCCAGACTGTTTCAAGTAAGAGAAATGCCCATCATGCCCTGGGAGATGTGAGTGACAGGGATGTGCAGAGCAGAGCTGTCCTATGCCCCCATGCTTCAGTGTCAGAGGTTTCCCATGTTGATTAGACGATCACCAGTCACATTCCTTAGCATCGTTTCTTCCAGCTCAGCTCCACAGTAGTGAATAATAACCTTTCAAAATTCAGGTTCTCTACTTGGAAGTTCAAATGTTGTTATTGGTAGCAATCACTATCTAGTGTCTGAAGTGATAGAATAACTGTTCATTCTTGGGAAAATAACTGGTAAGTCCCAGGTTTGCATAGCCATTTTGCCTTTGAAGGTGGTGATTCTTGAAGGTGGTATCCTTTATAGTTCTCAGCTACAGAAGCCGTGTGGAGCTTTCCTGGAGGATAGCTCAGCTGCCTTCATACACAAGGCTTTTCCTGCCCTCCATCCTGCCCCAAAATGTTAGAAAGGTGCTTCTTCCAGACAGAGTTGAACACTGTCATTAGTAAAATTAGACTTGATTTTAATGTAGAAGTTAAGATGACCACTTCATGAGGGGTGTTCTTAAGCAAGACTGCCTTTTGTTTGAAGTCACAGGGCTTTGGGAATGCACTGAATGCCAGCAAGGGTGGATGGTGTTGCCTGGATTCTTCCCTGTGCTCTGGTGTGCACTCACCCTGCTGTGTGCTTCAGTGCAAATCTCAACACAGTGAAAAAGGTCTTTTGTGTTCCTGTATTGTTAGGAACACAATCAGTTTTGGTCTATCAGAAAAACTTGAAAGGGTCTTGGGAACCCCAGCAGTTGGCTAGTGATTGAAGGCTTTTGCATGAGACCCGTGCTTTCTCAACCCAGACACATGGCTCCTCTCACTGAGAAGCTCCAGAAGAGGTCAGAGAGAGAGAGAGAGAGAGAGAGAGAGAGAGAGAGAGAGAGAGAGAGAGAGAGAGAGAGAGAGAGAGAGAGAGAGAGAGAGAGAGAGAGAGAG